GCGGTTTTATTTTATTTTTATAAACACTATTACATTATTATACGGTACCGATTCAAGTTATATGTCGATGGAAACCGTTCTTCTTTTATTTTATAAGTAAACGGACGATTGTTATTTAAATTAACTTCCGGCCCCTACGCGACTAGATGAATCCCATTTTCCTGCGAAAAAACGTTTACGTTTAAATTAAAACTAAATTAATTAACTTTAGTCTGAGTTTGTATTTATTTACATAATGTTAATAACACAAAACTCTGTTATGCTGTATTAAATGTGCAAAAGTGCTTCGCCACTTACATGTTTAAAAATTAATGTACCTATAGAAAATTTTGAGTCTTGTAGGATAACATAAAATTAACTTAATATTTAAAAAAAGTATGTATATACGTTCAGTCATCTTCTACATTGTTCCAATTGTTAAATTTAAACTAGAGAAAAATAACTATTCGAGAACATTATTTAAAAAAAGATAGTATTAAATTAAAAACTTAATCACTTGTACACGCAGTGCAAGGTGAATAATATAGATATCTAATTATAAACATAAATAATTTGTATAACCAAAAATGCTAATGCTGCAATGAAAATCTTTCTTTCTTTCTTCTCGTAGAATCAAATCATTTCGTTTCGTATTGTATAGTATATTGTGTTTAATGATTTAGACACATATCTATTTCAAAGATTTGAACCAATATAGATGTACCAACAGTTAAAAACACACACTTATGGAATTCATACACGTGTAAATATTTATAAAAAGAATTATTGTATCGCCTTGTTCTATTTGAATTTTCCTTTGCGTTTACTCGATAGTAGGCGGAAAAAAATAAACCTAAAAAAACTCTTTATATAAATATAAAAAATATACTTATATAATTTATAACTTATTAACGTAATATAAAAAAAATATAACTCTTTCCGGCATGGTCAGATATCTTCATATGACGGACACTTTTGATGATCCCACGAGTGTATTTTATAGGTAATCATAACGACCATATTGTGACAAATTTTTATAACGATCAACTCGAATAAAAAAAATATGTGATCATTATACACCTAGTTAATGTGAACGGTTTTGATTTGTGCGAGACGGAAGTTTTTTGCTTCAAAAAAACAATGTGCAATACACATACATATTTCCGACGCGGAAGGTTTTTTTTTAAACGAATCAAATTCGAAAATTTACCTCGCGTCCCTCTAAGGCTAAGGAAACGCGTACCAAACGTTGGGAATCGCTGAACTGCTGTGTACAATAATAACATGCAACAATATTTTCGTCTCGTGAACTCACCATACACACGTATGAATGAGTGTTCAGCATTATAACAGAACAACAATGAATTTATTGTTATTGTTTGGCCAACACGAACGATAAATTAATCGCGTTTACGATCAGTTACACGGGAAACTTCGGCGCGTTTAACAGGTTCGCGCGCGGAGCTTATACTATTATATAGGAGTATGCGTGGGTGTATACGTTTTGACGTCGGATTAATGGCGAAACACTGTCGGATTTCCATACGTTTTCATTGCGTTCTAATTGTACAATATAAACGCGAGCGTTCAAAATAATACGAGGGTACAACGCCGGTCGAAACCGTAAAGCGCGAACGACACGTGTCGACGTGTCGTACACGGAACGCAATTGAAAACAAAAAAAAATCGTGTATTGCTCGGTGATAATGCGTAACACGCGTGCACGTGTACATCGTGTGATCGAACTGGGTTCCCTGATTCAGGCGCGTATCCCTGAGCCGTTCTGTGTTCGGGTGGATGTTTGTAAAAATCGCAATGCTCCAGGGTGGTCGAGCATCGTGCATTTTAGGCGTCCGTGAGCGATTTCGAAACAGTGCGCTGAACGGAAATTTTTGATAAACTGCCACGCGTTTGATGAAAGTTTTATCGATTCATTTACCGTTTTGTTTCGACAGACTTCGGGAGAAAAATTCGTTACAATAGTTCACTGATAGAAGAAATCACTCACTACAGAAAAACTCGGAGTTCACTGTGGGTGAGTATTCCGAAAACGAAAAGCTTTGGAGTAAATGTTATTCGTAGGTATATATTAAACAGTTCTTATGACTAACAGTTTAACAGTTACTTCGTAAGAACTTCTGTAGTTACGTGCTCGAATAACATAATTCCATTAGTTTGAAAGTATTTCAAGAGTGGACTAGTAAATTCAAACAATCCTAAATGCATCTCTGCGGTAAGAACTGTATCGAATTTAATTGATTTTTCTAGCAACGTTCCTATTGTAAATCATGTCAACGGCTTTAATTCCAGAGAAAATAACATTTCTTCCAAAGCAATTATAAGACAAACATACACATATAAATTCAGATCACAACCATTGAACCAATCAAAATGTTTTAGTTAATGCGTTCTCTTTTGACGACCAACTAGTTTTTCCTACTGACGTGAGATTTTATTTTTTCACTACGTTCTGAAGGTTTGTATTAAGATATACGATCCTTTAAAAAATACCGAACAAGTATTTAGCGCTAAAAATAAATGTATTGAAAAATAATTATTTTCAGTCACATCGGCCATTATAAAAATTTGTGTATAAAACCAAATATTTAATTAATCATCAACAAATACTTTCATTGACCAAGAACCAAATCTGTTACACTGGTTTTGCATATTCGGTGCTTCGTCATTTGAAGTACCAGTACACTTTAAAACATTAATAATTAAATTGTTCGAAAGTGCAATACCGAATAATATTAATCCTTTGGTCGATTTAATAAGGCGTTCGTAAATGTTTTTTCCTGCAACGTAACGAATAACGGCTGAACAACCGTCACGTTCGGGAAGTATCAATTCGTAAAGCTATTCATTTTCGACAGTGTTTGATTTGCTTCATTTTCAATCGGTTCCGAGATAATATATTATACATATATAATTTAATCGTCCGTTGATTTAGATATCGCACTTTCGCGTCTTCGCGGGGCACTTTTATCGAAAGTTCCGATTGGAGCCGTGAAACCGGATCAGTCTGCGCACGAAAATAAAACATCGAAACGAATTCCATTTAATTACCCCCTGCGTCCGCAGGCACGTTTCCCCGTCCACGAGACAATCGGTTCGCAATTGTAATTACACGATTTATACCGTTTATCATTATCAATCGCGAACATTAACAAATTGCTCGAAAAAACCTATCACATATGTGCGTTTAGACGTTGACGTTCATTTTTATTCGACAACGCTAACTTCGCGCGCTCGTTCGGGAGACAATGTCCGTGGGATCGGTGCCGAAGTTCGCTGCGGATTCGCCGTCGCTATAATATATATATACTACTTATAATAATTTAGTAAAACGTCAAATTTTAAATTTTTCGGTTGCGTTATCAAACAAATAGATAACCTAAATCGTATCGAAATACTACTAAATTAAAAAAAAAAAATATTCTGAGTGGCTTAATGCTAAATTCAAAATGCCACAAAATGAAACAATTATAAATTCCGCACCAACTACTGCAGGTAGGAGATCTAAACCATTTGATAAATATACAGAACGAACGAAGAGGCGTAAATTCTAACATCGAATTATCCTCTCCAGAAATTATTAGTATCGCTAAACATAAAATCAATAAATCTGGAAATCAGAGAAGTGCAATCCAAATTTTTAATATAACTATAGAAACACCAAACAGTGCTAGTAAAATTCAAAAAATACTAAATAATTCTGAAACTTTAAAACCTATACCGTATAGTGCAGACAAAGCTTTAGTCTTTTTTACTAAAAATAATTTAACCAAACAACAATATATTAATATTTGATTGTTCGCAAAAGCACGCAGTGCAGAAATTTTTCCTTCATATAATTGTTACAGCAAAAAAACAATGTTATCCTGAAAACCGTAATAATCAATGGTTTAATTAGAATATACTTATACAATATGAATTAATATTAATATTGTACTGTATCTAAATAAGTATGTGCGTTTCGCGTAGTATTGTCGCAATAGTCACTTTACCAGATCGAAAATGTGTGTGTGGAATGTACCCATTATACTTTATCTTTATTTTATTACAATCTATTAAATAATAAAAGTAAAAGCATTATTCAATTATATCAATCAAAATAAAATATTTAAGCAAAAACCTAAATTTTACAGACATCTGGTACTTTTGAAGTGATAATAATTTGTGTACGTTATTGCTGCAAACAGCAGAGCAAGCAAAATTTACATCAATTAATAGACAAGAAGTTTCTTTTTAATATGGATTTATTGAATATAATGTAAAATTGAGTAAATTTTATCTAGTCTTTAGAAAAAAAAAAAAGAAAAAAAAAGAAAACGCGTAATTCCGAATCAGTTGCATTATGGAAGCATTGAAAAAAAAATAAAAATATTTCGTGTTATTATTTTTATTTATAGAACATAGATAGAACTATTTGAAAAATATTTTTTTTTTTTTTAGTTTTAATGTGGCAAAAAAAAAATAAACAATTTATGTCCTAAATTAAAATAAAATATCAGATATATTGAAAAATGTCTCATTAAAATAGCTATAACTTGAGTTATAAAAATATTTATAAATTTCCAGTTACATATCTAAACACGACAGGCTGTAGATATAATATTAAAAAAAAAAATTCAATTTTTCTCATTTTAAAATTGGGCAATAAAGACCACCTAATTTTAATTTGCGGACCACTGTGTGGTGGTAGATAATACAATTTCAATATAATTTACATTTATATTTCTGGATTATTTGAGTAGTCTTTACTCATCACTTTGATTGTCACTATTCTACCGGATTTCAAAGGATTAAACACGCTATAGGTAATAATGAAAGGATCGCCCGATTCCGCTGAAATGTATGTGCTCCCCCGCGGTAAGACCGCGGTCCTCGAGAGCTTTTCAAACGATAATAATTAATAACAATTATTGTTTTGACCGAATACCGCGCGTTCAGCTGTACATTGTGTTCTGTAACTGAACATTATACTCGTAAATTGCATTTTTATTTTATTGTTACAGGGCGTTGCGTGATTTTTGCGGTTCTTCAGACACGAAAAAGCAGAATATAAAACTTTACTGCGCTGGTTTACTTCATTTTTGGTAACATTTTGATAATCATTATTATTATTATTATTATTATTATTATTATTATTATTATTATTATCATTATTATTATTATATTTTTATCAGTCAAATTAAAACTATTGAATGCCTCCTTCACAACAAAAAATACGATACAAAATTAAAATTAAAATAACAAAAAAAAAAAAAATTATTCATAACAATTTATGAAATAAATTGCGATACAACTACATATATATAGCATCAAACAACTATAAGAATTACATCTTAGGTCCATAAAAAAAAATAAAAACCTAACCTTAGCCTTTACCCTCGAGTGCATCGGTTTTATGTATTATGCGTGAGATGATTTCACATGCACTGTTCGTCATCTTCTGATATCCAGTCAGAAACTGCTGACGTTTTACTTTATTACGATTTTGATTGAATTATTGAACATAATATTCGTATTTAATGCGTCACTTTAAAAAATAGAACAAGGGCGTAACGTTGAATAATATAGAAATATATCGACTGTTCTCTTTTATGTAATTTCTTAATTTCTAAAGATAAAAAATGAATTCATTCGTATAAAGGTGACACGCGTACGAAATATTCAAAATATATATATCTAGTAATATAACTTCAATGGTATGGAACAGACGACGTGCTGAAAATGCTGATATGAAAGTAATTTCTATTGCAATTTATTTGCATATGATATATTTTGAAGTAGGCGACATCTAAAAATTAGCATATGTATAACATACAAAGTCACGTTTTAGGCGTAAAATAGAACTGATGCGACATTTACTAATATTATTCTGAGACCCACTTAAAACCATTCCGTGTGATGTGAATTATGATAATTAAAACGGAACTACAATTAACATAATTGTTGGCACGAGTTTTTGAATTATAATTAAATTAAAACTTACGATTCGTTCATCAACGAGCCAAAATGTGAATTTACCTAATCATTAGCTGTATACTTTATATGTATATATAAATATGTACTCGTATATTGCGCATACGAATCTTATTCTGAAACTTTTATCGTTTTTACTTAGAATATATGTTTGAAATTTATAAATTATTTCTATTAAATAAACCAATTCCAAATTTAATAAAAGATTAGAAATCTAATTAGAAGACGAATGGTGTATTACCGTATACCCATAAACCAATTATTTACTTTGAAATTTGCCAAATAAAACGTGGGAGTTAAGAAGCGGGATCTCGTTATCTACTTAAGGTAATGAAAAATTAGAATTAAAATAATAATAAATCTTGACAAATCTCTGTGGACTGTGCAGATTTTATAGCGTGACTTGACGTACACAAAAGTCATTATATATATATTCTGTAAGTGTAAAATTCATTAAAATTATATAGGTAGATTATAAAACAATCAAGCTATTTTATTGCAAGCGATCAAGGGACTTAAAGTTATATATATTTCAGATTTTGTTTGTTTATTAAAGGTATTTAATTATTTTGTATTATTATACAATATGAACCGAGTCCGTGCGCAGTAAGGGAATGTGATAAAATAATAAGTAACAAAAAGATATATATATATATATATATATATAAATAAAATAATAAGAATAAACACTATCCAGTGATATTTATCCATTCTTCCTCCTCTAATGATTACTTACTCAACCGTACACAAATTATTTATTCTTTTTTTAACGTAATTATAATTTAGTCAATCTGTTACGATTATAAACAATACGTTTAATGGATACGAATTTATTTAATATTAATTTTTTATTGTATTTGTAAAAGGTCATGGACACTGCGTTAGATTTATTCTACTGATTGGAATGTCAGTGAGGGTTGGAGATGAAAGGCGAGAAACTAAAATATATGGTTGTATTTTTAAAGCCCATTCCGAAAGTTTCGTAATGTTTTTTTTTCCCCTTTCATACATTGTTACTTTTGTAATTTTAGATCGTTATGAAGGGAGTTCTTCGGGATACATCAGGGGATTGGCGTGATCACGTAAAGAGATATGTTTTTAAAATGATGCGGACGGTACACATTCGGGAAGGTTTGGCGCTATTCCAATTGTGTAAGGGTCTTAAGGGAGATTTGAGCATACAAGTATTTATGTTTGAGATTTGATTCAAGTACAAGACGTAATTAATGTACGCGCGGCTAATGACAAACGTCGCTGAGATGTTTAGTCGACCCTACGACCAGTCTTTATAGACGGCGGCAAATGCATGTCCTTTACGTTATGAACAAGATTGAATGTCGTACGATGGTATGACGTAACATGTATACGTGTTTATAGTTGAATCACTCGGTTTCGCCCGGGACATACGTTACTATTTTAGATTAGAGAAATCACTATTTCGGTGCAAGAAAAACGTAAGATTGAAAAAACACACGATTGTCGTAATGATGGTTGTTTCTGTCCGTTTGTACTTTGATGAGATTCAAATACGAACATTTTCCCGATGGTAAAATGCATTCGAAACCGACGGGAAACATACGGGACGACACAGCGTTCTCGTGCACGAATAGAGTAAGGCGGACGTACGACAACTTAGGAAATAAATCGAAAAGGTCGTTTATAATGAAAGTAACGTGAAAACGGCATCGCGGACGGACCGCGTACGATGACAATATTTAAATGACGTCGATACCCACAGCAGCTTTATTAGCAAAATTAGTTGTCACTCAAATCGGAATCGCGTAAACACGAAATACCCGTGTATCAGATCACAACGCTAAAACAGTATACACTATTTTAATGCAGAGATCGACAAAATGTTTACCTAAGTGCAGAGCTGGAATTCGAAAAAATAACATTGGTTTAACGTTATTATCGTATAAACGCATTTGGTATGATTTCGTTTATTATTGATAATTCAAAACTTTATTAAGTTTTATGTTTATCGTTATTAGGGATTGAAACGTTATTAATTATTTATATTTTTCATTATTGAAAATGTAATAATCGTTTTTTGTCGTTTAAGAAGTTAAAACCATTAGAAATGTAATCATTTTAACGTTTTAGTTTATACTGTATAAGTTAAACATAGTCCCTTCTGTGCATTTACCAGATTGGGGATTTTAATGAGGTCAGAATCTTAGAACGAGCCAGTTAATATAGTGTATTAAAACTCAATAGAATTAAGTTTCGTTATCAATGAATAATATTTAATATCTGTTTAGAGTTTAGATATAAATATTTTTGCTAGGTAATCAACTTTAGTTAAAATTTTTAAAACAAAAATATCATGCACGTTTATTTTAGTTTAATATTTGTAATTACAATTATTCGTGATGTAACGCAACAAAAACAAACATATGTTTGTATGCATGAACGGTATAAATAATAAAACTTTTAATTGATCATTGGTTTTCGGTTCCCGAATAAAATATTTAACAAAGAAAAGTTAAATACGTGTATGATAATAAATTGAGCGAGATACGTCTTTACTGTTCCCTATTAGACTTTTTTTGTTGCGGTTTTAATGTAATCAAACCGTGAAGTATAAAAAAAAAATTCAAATTTGAAACTGAATACTACCTCAACTATGTACATAGAAGAAAAATAACAGATCTCGAGTCGTCCGGAAGAGTTATGTCAGTGTTCGGCATGTAAACCTGAATATAAAACAATAACGAACTATATAAATACGAAAAACGAAAAAAAAAGTAAAATTACATTTTTCTTTTTCAATAATTTATATATGTTATGGGTAATGTTAACATTTGGATAATGCCGACAATATCCGGCTAAAGTCAACATTAGCCAACTGTTATCGTTACTCGCCATGAATATTGTTGGCTAATGTTAACATCAACGGGATAATAATATGATATTAGCCAAGAACTTTTGAATAATGTCTTAACAACCATAAAAATTTAACGTGCATGAGATAAAATCATTGTAAATCATTAACAATATTACATATATTTAACATACAATAAATTAGTAATTACCATAAAATACATAGTATTATTAATATGAATTTATTTTTTATTTCTAATAATCTAACCTACTTATGGAATTAAATTTTATACTATAAATTATTTCTTAAAATATTATTTTAAGTACCTATAGAATTAAAACGCTAACGTTTTAACCTTTATTATTAGATGGCATGGTTCCGTGACATTTTGAATTGTACAAAATGCTAGACGATTTGCATTTATACATCGATATATCGATATATCGTTCAATTGGTCGGTAAGATAACTGACTAACTTGGGTTCCAAGTCAAGATAAAATATTACACTCTGGAAGTCCGACGCTTTATTATTGTATAAAATGCTAATAACAACATTATCCAATATTGACCGGTTGAGGTTAGCATTATCCGGATGATGTTAATAATCCCTGCCTTATAAACGAAAAATTACCCGTTAGCCATAACATATGGCTAATGTTGTCATTAGCCGGATAATAACGTGGACATTATCCAAATGTTGTATATATCGACAATGTTTTTTTTTTTTTTTTTTCCATAGAGCGTAAGAAAGCGTAAAAAATATCTCCATCTGTCCGCGGTAGCCATTAAGACCGAACGCGCATAAGATGCGCGCACGCGAAAAGCCAAAAGTTTTTCGACTTTCCGGTACGGAATCCTACGCCGTCCCGTCACCGTTCGCGCGGATCGAAACGATTGGTCTTACGGGCGCCTTGACGGGCCGGACCGCGTGCGTTTCCGGTCCGGAACCGTTTTCGTCCCTGTAAAAACTGCGATCTCGCCCGTGCCCCGTTGAATTACGTTCTTACGGTCCGGCGCCGGCCAGTCGCCGCGTCCGTTTCGCCGGGACCATTAGCGCGCGCCGTCTCCCCGACTATCCACCGATCGCCCGTCGACTCGCCATCCCGAAACCGGACGTCCGCACGTAACGTGCACAATTATTATTTAACGTCCGAACGCGACCCACCGAAAGTACGGGTGCGAAAAAAATCGAAAACAATGAAATCCCCCCCCCCCCCCCCCCCCACCCCATCGTGGACAGGGATCGGGGTGACGGCGTTTTTTAAGTTCGTACTTTCACCGCCT